ATGGATGCTAATCAAGAAACAACTTACTATAAAAAAACACAATTTAGTAAGCCAATAACTTTGGAAGTTCCAAGCACATAAATTTTTGCCCAAGTATGATAACCATGGATCTTTGGATTAGCGACAATGTTAAAAAATACGTGGTTTTCAAGAAAATGTCTCCTAAATTGAACCCATGGCATGCATTATAATAATTAGCTTACCTTTATCCCCGGGTGCATCATCTAAAAATTTTATTATTCACACTTTCTAATAGCCTCAAATGATTACAACATGTTCATGAATACAAAATTTTAGTTAAAGTAACACTGTCATTACTTCTTTTGTCAAGCATCTCCTTCTGCATAGGTTACAAGTTAATTCAATTAAGAATTGATAATTGATTTGAATATCAATGATTCCTAATAAAATCTCATAAATCTTTTTTTTTAAGTGATTAAATTTTTTATTTACACTTTACACATTATTTTTATTACAATCAATATCTTTAAAAACTTCTACTTTTGATCAATATTATTTATCATTTAAAACCCATAAAAACTTAAAAAGTAACAGTTAAATTTTTTATTTACACTCTAACTTTGTTCACAGTTTGAAATTTTTTGTAAATTTAAAATTATAAAAAGTGTTAACCAAAAGTAAAAATTATAAAAAGTATTAACCATAAATATATATATATAAGGTACAAATAGAGAATTTGATATTTTTAAATTGTATATGTTATGCACCTTAATTTTAAGATTTTTAAAAACTGAATTTTCACACACACAAAAAAAAAAAGAAGAAGTCAAACTAGTTGTTCAGTTGACTAAACTTAGGAATAGCAATTTTTCTTGAAAGTTGTATGCCAAACACTGCCTAAATGAGAGATCAACTTAACTTGATCCTTTTTTTTTTTCAATCTAATTTATCTTATCCAAAGTTAGTGGTCCTACTTTAGATAGGAAAATTTGAATGGATGTAAACAACACGTTAGTAAGGGCATGAATAATTGATCAAAAGCCATCGGGCACTATTCCCTTTTTCAGTCATGTGCTTAGTTGCCTTTGAATCATTGACCACCATGGACAGTGACATGAACTTCTAACATCTTGCAAGAAAATGTCATAAAAACGCACTTAAACTGATAGCTATCTACTTTTGCACAAGCAAACTGTGTCTGTGGACTTGCCTTCCTCTTCCCTTTCATAAATCTCATATTGAGTAGTTCCCAAGCTAAAGGCTCTGCCTAATATTCGTTCCCTTCCTTTTTCTACATTTTTTGGGCTACCGTGATCTTAGGGGTGTGGTGGTATCGGACAAGGAAATTGCTTAGGAAAGGAAAATACATGTTTGATGTCTGTGCACGTGCAACTGGTAAGGTAGATTCAAGATTTAGCTTTAGGATTAGTATTACAGAAAATTAAATTTTTTAAATGTAATAAATTAATGTAAGTTTACCTACGACTTGTTGGTTTAAGTGAAAGGAATTCGGTTTCTCTTAAAAAATATTTCGAGTTTGAATTTTATGAATGGAAAAACAAATGCAGGGAAAGTTTCCCCTTATATGGGGTCCGACAAGACTCGAATCTGAATTAATCAGGACCCAATGAGATTTTTGGATATCCGGAGTTAGTATAAAAAAAAATTTAATGTAAGTTTTATATTTTTAAATTTAT